GGCGAGTTAGATGCCTAAAGATTTTATAGTTCTATTTATAGTTTTTATTTCGAGTATTTCTTTTAATTAACTTATTCTTTCATACGTTGAATACGTTTATGATAAGTCAATAATGTTAATTTTTATTAATAATAAAACATCAAATCAAATTTTTTTTAAAAACTATGATCTTTACTTTAAGGAGAAAGTAGAAAAAAAAAGAATTAATTTGAACAAAAATAACATACATAACCAATTGGAAGGTGTCATATGTTAGTGACATGGATGTATGACATATAAATTAATGGCGTTGGCTTCTATTAATGGGAATGGATTAAATCAATTTTCTTTTTTTAATTATAAAAATTAAAGAAAGGACTAATTTGAAAGAAAATATATATAGACCAAATTATAATTTTTCCCTTTTTCTTATTTATTCTTATACATTACATCATACACAGAGAGAGAGAGATATATATATATATATATATACATATATATGTACAAACCCAAGAATCTCAAGAGTGAAAATATAAGAAGGTAAGTGGAAAACGGAGCATCCCCATTGACGCAAGACAAAAGAAAACGCCTCCTCCACTCCAAACTCTCACGCTCTAAGTCCATCCATCCCTGACCCTAACCCCACTCAGTCCCCCACCCCACCAAACAACAACTTACAGTCACAGACTCACAACCAAGAAAGACATTAGAGATGGGTTTCGCGGAGAAGACAACTCAGAGCAGCAACCAGAGCTCCGCCACTTCCACCACTGATAACCGGATTATGGGTTTCCTCTTAGTCTTCTTCCCTCAGGACCACTCCAACTCCAAATCGAATTCCATTGTTCATGATCCCGCTTCTTCTTCTTCTTCTTCTTCTTCTTCTTCTTCTTCTTCTTCCTCTTCCTCTTCTTCTCCCCCTGTTCCGTGTTTCAAGCCCAACCCTACTGCAAAACTCCTCAGAAGAACAAATTCCTCCGGTTTCCTCCTCACCAAAGCCCAATCCACCATCTCAATCTGCATCTTGTTCCTCTTCCTAACTCTTTTTGTCTTTACTATCTCCACCTTCGAACCCACCATCCCAATTAACCCCAGCGCCAAACCCCCTCGCAGATTCTTATCAGACCACCCCATCAAATCTCCTCCCTCTTCGTCTTTTTCACTTGGAATGTGGAGCAGGAATCCCCGGGGTAGGCCCCCGGAATTCGCCGACAACAGGCCGCAGTTCTTTGCTCTGCAAGGAATGGGCACTCTGTACCGGCGCGGCACTAAAGCCATGAACGATCTCCTGGTCTGTCATGTTGTCGAAGATGTCGGTGAAGATGAAATGCGCTTGTTTCTCAGGCTTTTGCACAGGTCTGGTGTCACCGCAAAATCCGACGTCGTTTTCATTTTCGATTCGTCTTCCGCTGCTTCGAGATTCCATGGTGTCATTCAAGAAGAGAACGAGTCATTCTTGGCCCTCGTCCAAGCATATCAACAATCTAATATCACGAGTCGCAACTCAGTATTGAGCTTCGACTTGGCTCAGTTCGTCAAGCCCGTTAAGAAGGAAGTTGCAGAGCCTATATGGGGCAGGAGAAGTCGAGGAAATTACAGCGCGAACTCAGTGGAAGGAGAGAATGAGTCTCCTCGATTGAATTACGGATCGGTGATTGGTTTCGAATCCAACGAGTTGGACTCGGAGAACTCTCTGGCCGGGTTTTTGGATCACGTGCCGATGAGTCTGAGAAGGTGGGCTTGTTACCCGATGCTCCTCGGTCGAGTCCGTCGCAATTTCAAGCACATAATGTTGGTCGACGTTAAGAATTCGGTCTTACTCAGTGACCCGCTCGGCCGAGTCAGGAATCACAGTCCCGAGTCAGTTCATGTATGGTTAAAGCAAGAGGCTGGCTCAAGCAAGCACGGGAGAAAAAATTCGGAGAGAACTCAGTCGGGTCGACACGTGAACTCACGGATTGTGATGGGTGGAGCTAGGGGAGTTCGGAGATTATCAAATGCCATGTTGACTGAGATTGTTAGAGCTGCAATGCAACACAAGAAGAACCAGGTGACGGAGTCTGGAGTAATGAGTCAACTTGTTAGCACTGAGCACATAACTAG